GACGCCGTCAACAGCAGCAGCAGCAGCAGCAGCAGCAGCAGCAGCAAGGAGCGCAGCAGATTCTCGGGGGCGCACTACGAGCTGCGGGCAGCCCCCAAGGCCTTCGAGCGGTGGAAAATGGTGGAGACTTTGCTGCTGTCTTTGAACTCCAAACCCAAAATAAAAGCAGCAGTTGTTGCTGCTGGACTTCTTTACGGGGGGGGGGAAGAAGAGCTTTACCCCGCCTTCAAGGAGGCCTGGCTGGGCCTCAGCACCCACAGGGTCATCGGTGCGCCCCTGCTGCTGCTGCTGCTGCTGCTGCTGCTGCTGCTGCTGCTGCTGTTGTCGCTGTTTGCTGGCAGCAGAAAGATGCAGTGAGAAGCACGTGCTGCAGCGGCGAGCCCCGGCCGCTGTTAGACGCGGGCCCTGAGGGCCTCGGAGTCCTGCAGGCCCCACAACGGAGTCTGCTGCTGCCGCTGCTGCTGCTGCTGCTGCTGCAGGGGAGGGCAGCAACCTGGTGCCGTGTGTGCACGTTGAAGACCTGTGCAGCCTGGTGCGGGCCGTGGCGCTGGAGCCGGAGGGTGGGGTTGGTGCTTATTACCACATTTGTGTGGACTCGAGTTTGGTGAGTCAGCGGGAGATACTGGAGGCGATAGTGGGGGAGCTGGGATCGCCTCTGGGATCGCCTGCGGGATCGACTCCGGGATCGATCCCAGGGGTCACCCCCGAAGAGGCAGCCTTGGCCACCGTCCCAGAGCTTTTTAAATATGATTTGGCTTTCGAAATGTCTCCCCTGATGTCTTCTTCTTCGGGCTTTCCGTGGCATGCAAAGTCGGGGCTGGTGAAGTCCATCAAGCTCGTCGCTGCGGAGTTCTGCCAGTCCAGAGACCTCAGGCAGCTCAAAATCCTCATCACAGGTCAGTCTTTTCATTTTTATTTCTTTTTTTCTTTTTTATTTCCCTTTTTCGCCACTTTTCGCGCTTTTCCCCCCCAGCGCCTCCCCAGCGCGCGCCGCCGGCGTGCCGCCCACGTCGAGAGTGGTGTACACTCTCGACCTGAGCGCCTTGCGCGCCACCCGCAGCTCTCGCGCCTCCATTTCTCGTTTATTGTTTAATTAATACTTTTAATTTTAATATATTCATGGAAGTATCTTTATTTTCAACTTTTTTAACTCTCAAGAGCAGCAAAATAAACCCTTTTTGCGGCGGTCACCCAGAGCGGCTGAACCAAACCGCCCCTGCGGGTCACCGGACGAGCAGTTCGTGCACCTCTTTCCGTTATTTTTGATTTATTTTTGATTTATTTTGATTAATTTTAATTTAGTTTAATTAATTTTAATTTATTACATTCTTATTCCCCATTTAAACGGGTCTTTCGTGCTGCTTCCAACCTCCAGGGCCCCCCGGCAGCGGCAAGAGCACCATCAGCGAGCGGCTGGCGTCTTACTACAACATACCTCTTATCAAGACAGCTGAGGTGGTGGAGGTAGCTCGCGCAGCAGAACTTGACTCTGCTGCTGCTGCTGCTGCTGCTGCTGCTGCTGCTGCAGGCCCAGCAGCAGCCGCCGGGGGAGCCGCAGCAGCAGCAGCGGGAACAGCCGCAGCTGGAGCCGCCGCAGCAGCAGCAGCAGCAGCTGAGGAGCCCAAGAAGAAGGGCAAGAAAGCAGCAGCAAAGAAAAACCGATTTGATGCAGAGACCCTCGGCAGCTTTTTTGTAAACAAGCTGCAACAAAACGCATGCAGATACAGAGGCTTTGTTCTGGACGGCTACCCCCGCAGCTACGCAGAATGCATGTCTCTTTTCCTGCATCCCAAGAGCGAAGCAGGCCCAGAAGCAGACAGCAGCAGCAGCAGCAGCAGCAGCAGCAGCAGCGGCAGCAGCGGCAGCAGCAGCGGGGGCGGAGGCGGCGGCCAGGAGCCCGTGGGGCCCGCAGGCGCAGCAGCAGCAGGAGCAGCAGGAGCAGCAGCAGCAGAGCAGCAGCTTGCTGCTGGCGCAGACCCGCGGCTGACCCCAGACTTTGTGGTGCTGCTTGCTGCTGCAGCAGACACGCTGGAGCAGCGGCTGATGCTGCTGCCTCCTGCTGCTGTTGCTGCTGCTCACAACGACAGAGATGGATTTAAAAGACGCATGCAGCTTTACACTCAACTCAATGAGTCCACAGAAGGCAGGCCCAAGCTCGTCGACTTCTTTCAAGTACCAAACCCTAAACTCTAAACCCTAAACCCTAAACCCTAAACCCTAAACCCTAGCGACCCTGCGGCGCCGGTCGCAGCGCGAATAGACTAACTCCTGGAACTCCATGACTCACCAACAATCCATCATCATTTATTATTTGTTTTTTATTTATTTATTATTTTTTATTTATTTATTTATTCATTTATTCATTTATTTATTTATTTATTGTTTATGATAGGAAAGAGGCGTGGAGGTGCTGACGCTGCCCACGGACGGGCGGAGTGTGGAGGAGCTGTTGAGTTCAATTGTAATTTATATTTCTCGATTTGGAGAAATAAAAAACTTTTTACTAAATCCGGACTCTTTGCTGCAGCAGCAGGAGCTGCTGCTGCAGCAGCGGGAGGCGGAGCAGCGGCAGCGCGAGGCCGAGCAGCAGCAGCAGCAGCAGCAGCAGGCCGCACGCCTGCTGCAGCAGCAGCGCGAACGCGACCTCCAGCGCATGCGGAGAATTGCTGAACATGAGCAGCAGCTGCTGCTGCTGCGCTCTGTGCCTCTTAGAAAGTATTTGCTGCAGCACGTGGCCCCAGCACTTTCCGAGGGTTTGCTGGAGGTCTCGAGGGTTTTGCCCGAGGACCCCGTCAGCTACTTGGCCCAGTTCCTCTTTGCCAGGGCCAAGCGCCTCGAGTGAGGGTTTAGGGTTTAGGGTTTAGGGTTTAGGGTTTAGGGTTTAGGGTTTGGGGTTTGGGGTTTGGGGTTCGGAGCGCCAGGTGCTCAAGGGCTTTCTGGGCTGTTGAAGGGCCCAGAAAGTTGCAGGGAGGCGTTGCTCTTCGCTGTAATGAGGGTTTAGGGTTTAGGGTTTAGGGTTTAGCGTTTAGGGTCTGACACCTGGGTTCTTGTTGGTTTATTCGCGGGACTGGACTGCACGAGTCCAGTGAATTGGAATTTCACTCAAAATCCTTGAAATTCAAATAAAAGACAATTTTATTTATTTAAAAGTATTTAAATTTAAATTTAAAACAATTTGCATTCAATTTATTGAAATGCAAATGGGGCTGAACTGACTGGCGCCATGCTGCGCAGAGGTGTCGAGACACTGCGTGCATGCACACGGAACACAAAAACAAAGAAATAAATAAATTAAATTAAAAATAAATAAAAATAAACTTTAAAACATTTTAAATAATTAAATAAATAAATTAATTCATTCGCTGGTCACGCCACAGACGGCCCGCGTGATGTACATACACCTGCATCTTTGGCGAAATGCATTTACAGTTAATCATATTTATAATTGAGTTGTTGCTGTAAAAATAACTCAAATTAAACTTTTCAAATCTTTTGAAGCTATTTGTGATTACAGTCTAGGGTTTAGGGTTCAGGGTTTAGGGTTTAGGGTTTGGGGCTAGGGTGACCTCTAAGGCGGGTTGTCGATCAAGACACTAGAGCCACTGCGTGTGCTCCTGGTGTTGCTTAGAAGCAAAATTAATTAAATAATTTATTATTTATTTATTTATTTATAAATTTTATTTATATTTACATTTTGATTTATTTTTAAAGCCGTTGGAATGCATTTACGAGCACAACGGGGCTGCATGCGCGTTCTTTGAGCTCCGCCGAAATCGCTACGAGCTCCTAGCTGTAAACCCTAACCGCTAAACCCTAAACCCTAAACCCCAAACCCTGGACCCGAAACTCTGAGTCGTAAGCGCTTGAAGTTCTCAGTTGTTGGAAGGCAATATTTTTTATATTTTTGGGGGAAATCTGTTGAATGCAGCCAATTGCCGCCAGCCCCAAGGCCAAAGCCTAAACCCTAAACCCTAAACCCTAAACCCTAAAATGGCGGAAACGGCGGCCCAGGGGCTCTCGAACTTCGCTGGCTCTGAGGCGGATTTATCGGCTCAACTCAAAACCCTAAAAGAAACAAATGAAAGAAAGGCGAAAGAAGTTAAAGACATAAAGGTGACAGAAAGCACGAGGCAAATAAAAGAAATAAAAAATAAAAATAAAATAAAAATAAAAATAAAAATAAAAATAAAAATAAATAATTTAAAAGGGAAGTAAGTTTGGGAGCAGCAGAAAGTGGATATTAACGTGGCAGAGAGCAGCAGCAGAGAAGTAAAACAAAAACCACACAAGTAAATAATTAATAAATAAATATATATAATTAATAAATAATAAATAAATAAAAAACAAATAAAGATGAAATTGAAAATAAATCCACAAGTAGAGGCACAGGCGCGCAGTGTATGTACACCCCAGAGAAGTTCAACTATTCATCTGCAGCTCTAATTTAATTCAAACAAAAAAAAAACTAACTATTCAAAATCAGTTTTATTTTATTTAAAAAAAAAGTAAAATGTAGACAAATGCATGCGCAGCTGCGGTGTACGTACACTGCATTTTAGCATGTGCTGCAAAACCCAAATGCCAAAAAATCGAAAACAGAATAAATAAAAACTATTTTACATATTTTTAAAAGCACGTTTGTGAGGATAAATAAATTTTATTTATTTTTTAGTCTCTTTCTTCTATTTGTGGCAGCGATTTAGGGCTTTTTCTAAACCCTAACTCTAAACCCTAAACCCTCGCTTTCACTTAAAGGCCTTACTATGAGTGCTGTAAAGAGGGTTGCACAACACAAAGGCCTCCAAGTATTAAACAAGGGTTTAGGGTCTAGGGTTTGGGGTCTAGAGCTTTGCTGTTGCTTCTGCTGCTTTTGCTGCTTTTGCTGCTGCTGCTGCTTCTTCGAATCCTTTTTGCTGCTGCAGCGCCGCACAGAACTGACAGTGCTAGAGACGCAGGCGCTGCAGCGGGCGCTGCTGACGCTGCTGCAGGAGAAGCGCAACGAGCCCCCGCAGCAGCAGCAGCAGCAGCAACAGCAGCAGCAACAGCAGCAGCAGCAGCAGCAGCAGCGCCTCTCCGCTGTTGCTGCTAATGGCATTTCTTTAGAAACAAGACATGCACTTCTCTCCAAAGAAAGCAAAAAGACAAAAACGGAAATGCTGCAGCTGCAGCTGCAGATCAGCGGCGCCCAGCGGCTGCTCAAGGTCTGATTATTCTTTTTTGAGTTTTCAAAGTTGCATTTTCATTTCTTCAGTTTAATTCGATTTAATTTTAACTTAGTTTTATTTAAGTTCAATCGAAATCAATTTAAAGCCAAGTTTATCTTGGCTCATTTTTTCTGCATGTTCGTTTTATACGCTGGAACCGCCCCAGCTGCTGCGGCGGCGACTCCGCAGCGCGAAGCCCTATAGAAGGGTTTAGGGTTTAGGGTTTAGGGTTTAGGGTTTAGAGTTTAGGGTTTTGTGCCTTCAGGAAACCATAAAAAACGGAGAACTCGAGGCAGCGGAGGTGCAGCCTTGAGGTGCCTCAGCGGCGCCAAAAAAAAAATTTAGTTTGAAAATAATTTTCGAATTATTTGACTTAAATAAATAATTAAGTAATTAATTAATTCATTTATTTCCGATTTTCAGGAAATAAATCAATAAGGTGGACTTTGAAATAAATTGTTTCACTCGGATGAAAAACCCAAAAAGTTCAAATAAAAGACTTTAAAAGAAATAAAAGAACAAAACAAATAGCAATTAAAATGGGAAAAATTAATTATTTTTATTTTGAAAAAATATCCTAAAATGTGCAATTAAAAAAAGCCTTTTTGAAACTGAAAGGAAGCAGTGAGTCTTGACGAAAAAAGGAAAATAAAAACGAGAAGCAAATAAAGACAAGTTGAAAATAAAGTGCCCGAGAAAAAAAGCAATAAAAAACAACAAGCAGCAAAAGAAATGCAAAAAACAAATTAGTGGCAGCAAACAACTTTTGTTTGCAGCTGCGAAGAGATGCTTTTGAATTTCGAAGAGACATTTTGTTAGCTGGAGAGGAAATCCCCACGGGATTGACAAGTGGGGAGGCCCTTTTGAATTGGCTCCAAACGAGAATTCTTAATTTGCAAAAAAAAGAGAAAAAAATCGAAAATAAACTTCTCGAGTCCAAAGCTGAAGGCCGCCGGGGGGTCCCCGGGGGGCCCCCCTCTTGGGGCCCCAAGGAGGGCCTCCTCAGGGGCCCCCTGGCGCGCTCCCTGGGGGGCCCCCTGGGGGGCCCCCTGGGCGCCCTTGGGGGCCCTAGTAGCGGGCTGCAACATATTGATTTGCATCAATTGAAAATAGAAAATAAATTGTTTGCTGATAAATTGGAAGAGTCCAAAAATGATGTGGCAACTAAGAAAAGGATTTGCTGTAAGCAAAAGATTGTTCTTGCAGTTATAATAATAATAATAATAATAATAATAATAATAATAGCAATAATAATAATAATACTAATTATAATAATAATAACGATACTATTAATAATAATAATGGTAATAGTAACAATAGTAATGATAATAATAATCATAATAATTAATAATAATGATGATAATAATAATAATAACGATACAAAATAGTAATAATAATGATAGTAATAATACTAATACTACTACTACTACTACTACTAATAATAATAATAATAATAATAATGATAATAATGATAATAATGACAATAATGATAATAATGATAATAATAAGAATAAGAATAATAATAATAATAATAAATATAACTACAATTGGAAGGAAAACACAAAATGAGAAAGAAATGAAAAGATAAAAGTGAGTGCGCGTGTGCTGGGGTGTATGTACAGCTCGGACGCTGCAGGAGCAGAATCTGCTGCAGCAGCAGCTCAGCAGCAGCAGCAAAACTGCCAGCTGCTTAGCTGCTGCTATTCAAAACAAAACAGCAGCGCTGCAGCAGCTGCGGAAAGCTGCAGCAGCAGCGCAGCAGCAAAAGGAAGCGACGCGGACGGAAACCAAGCAGTGCGTTTGCTGCTGTTGCTGTTGCTGCTGCTGCTTCTACTGCTTCTGCTGCTGTTGCTGCTACTGCGCTGCTGCTGCCGCTGCTCCTACTGCTACTGCTTCTGTTGCTGCTTCTGCTGCCGATGCTTCTACTGATGCTGCTAGTGCTGCTGCTACTGCTGCTGCTACTCCACTGCTGCTGCTGCTGCTGCTGCTTTCTTTTGAGTTCTTATAATTGCGATCTTTTTATATATTTATTTGAAGTTACTTTATTGTGTTTGTTGTTCTCATCTTTGCCATTATTGTCATTACCCTTTTCCACTTTACAGTTGCTGCTGCTGTTTACTGTTGCTGCTGCTTGCTGCTGCAACGGGCAGCTGTCTTCCCCTGCCCGTGCCTAGGGTTTAGGGTTTATGGTTAGGGTGTAGGGACTCCGGTCAAGAACTTAAGACCCAGGCTCCACAGCTTAGGATTTAGGGTTTAGGGTTTAGGGTTTAGGGTTTGAGCGTTCAGGCTGCTGGCGCAGTCGCGCAGCAGCAGCAACTCTTTTCAAATATCCGATTTGGTGCGGCAGAAGGCGCTGCTGCTGCAGCAGCAAAAGCTGCTGCGGGCGCTGCAGCGGAAGTTGCAGGTGGCGGAGCTGGAGGCCCGCACAGTGCGCAGAGACGCAAAGCCAGATCCAGAAAACAACTAAACCCTAAACCCTAAACCCTAAACCCTAGCTTCGCCCCCAAACCCTAAACCCCAGCGTCCCGCCCCGAACCCCTAATCCCTAATCTCTAATCCCTGAATCCTAAACCCTAAACTCTTAAGCAGGAACCCTCACTCCAAGCCGCTAGTCCCAAACCCTAAACCCCAAACCCTAAACGCTAAGCCCTAAACCCTAAACCCTGACCTGGTGTTCGGAAGGCACCCCAGAAGTGTCGGAAGTTTGAAACCCTTGAGAAGTCCAAAAGACAAACAATAAATGCTATTTTAAAACATTTTACTTTTATTTCTTTTCTTTCGCTTCCATTTATTTGATGGAGAAAGCACAAACTGAGTAAACGCTCCAACTGCGCAGCGCGCAGCAGCAGCACCAGCACCAGCAGCAAGAGCGTCACCAGCAGCAGCAGCAGAAGCAGCAGAAGCAGCAGCAGCAGCAGAAGCACCAGCAGCAGCAGCAGAAGCAGCAGCAGCAGCAACAGCAAGAGCAGCACCAGCAGCAGCCAGGGCCATACAGGCAGCAGTAGGAGCTGCTGCTACTGCGGCTGCTTGCGCAGCAGTTGACTTCTGCAGTCGGCTTGCATTTTTGAAGCTACAAATAAATTAAAAAAATAAATAAAAAATAAATAAATAAATAAATAAATAAATAAATATGCAACAATAAATAATAACAAGTAAATAAGTAGTGAGCGTTTCCTAACGCCGTTGCAAACGAGCAAGACAGTCCAGTTTCACTGTCTTCTTCTGACGAAGAAACTGAAAACTAAAATCCAGAGTCTAGGGTTTAGGGTTTAGGGTCTAGGGTTTGGGGTTTAGGGTTCAGGGTTTAGGGTTAAGGCTGGTTTCCACTTGGCTATCGCTGGCTTCCTATTTTCAAACCCTAGAGCAGCGAATTCTTTCGCTTTTAATGATTTGTTGCTGTTGTTGCTGCAGGTATTCCGTTTCTGAAATCAACATAAGTTTTAAAAAGCTTAGCAGCGCAAATCTAGCAGCAGCAGCAGCAGTAGCAGCACCAGCAGTAGCAGCAGCAGCAGCAGCAATGATGCAACAGGGCTGCATTTAGGGCTGGTTCGGGCGATTTGGGGCAAATGGAAGCCTAAACTGGGGCAAATTGCGTCTAATTTAAATTTATAAAATTAAAACATTAAATTAATTTAAATTTGAACTTCTTTTTGTAGATTTCGAGTAATTTGCAGCGAAAAGAAACAGCAGCCTGCGCATCGGGGCTTGGCGCATGCAGAGCGGCAGCTGCTGCTGAGGCTCCGCGGCAGCTGCTGCTCACACATAGAAATGAAGTAAATACAAAGCCTTTTGGTTTAATTTTTGGCTTTTAATTAGTTTATTTGCTTCATTTTCTTGTTTTGAGTTCCCGGCTGCTGCTAACAGCAGCGGGAAGAGCAGCTGCTGCAGCTGTTGCAGCTGCTGCAGCAGCATCGACGGTCGCAGCTGCTGCTCGTCGCTCCGGCGAAACGTTAGTGCATTTTTCTTTTAGTTTTTCTTTTTATTTACTTTTTTAATTTTATTTTTACCTCCCAGGCTGCATGCAGCCTTAAAGCGCCCCCAAACTATGTAGCTGCGCTGGCTGCCGGGGAGGCCGAGCGGTTGCTGCTTCGTTTTATGTGAGTCTTCCGCTGCAGCAGCAGCAGACTGCATGCATGCAAGGGGCCCCGGAGCAGCGCAGCAGCAGCGATGCAGCAGCCTTTGGGGGGCCCCCGCAGGCCGGGGGGCCCTCCGAAGCCCGAGGGGGGAGAAAACCCTAAATTGGAGGATGGGGGCAGCTCCAGAGCAGCACTAGGAGGTGTTGCTGCGAAGAGGCCCTTTTTTGGTCCAAAGATTCCTCAAAAGGATGAAGACGCGAAGGCAGCAGCAGCTGCTGCGTCGTCCCCCCCAGCAGCAGCAGCAGCAGCAGCAGCAGACGGCGGCGACGCCCAGACGCCGAAGAAGGCCCCCCCCCCCAGCGCAGCAGCAGCAGCAGCAAGAGGGGGCCTGCCCCCGTTCGCGGCGAAGAAGCCCGGCGCGCGCGTGGCCTTCTGCGGAGACCCGAGCAGCAGCAGCAGCAGCAGCAGCAGCAGCAGCAGCAGCAGCAGCAGCGGGTGCCGGGGGGGCGCGCGGGTGCAGCGGCTGCAGGAGAAGTGGCGGCTGCTGCCGTCGTTCATCGCATGCAGGGGACTGGTGTCGCAGCACTTGTCTTCTTTCAACTATTTAATTGAAGAGGGACTCCGCAGCATCGTGAGAGCAGCAGCAAACCGATTAATTCGTTCTGATGTGGATAGTTCGTTTTTCATGGAGTTCATGGATGTGCGTGTGGGGCCCCCGCGGCTGGAGGACTGCATGCAGCAGCAGCTGCTGCAGCAGCAGCAGCAGCAGCTCACGCCGCAGCTCTGCAGACTCCGCGAGCTCACCTACGCGGCTCCTCTTCTCGCGGAAATTGAATTTGCAAAAGGAAATGATATTATCAGAAGAAAAGGAATCTTTATTGGAAGTTTGCCAATTATGCTGCGCAGCAAAGCTTGTTTGCTGCACTCCAAGACGCAGCAGCAGCTGCAGCAAATGGGCGAGTGCCCCCTGGACCCGGGTGGCTACTTCATTGTCCGCGGCACTGAAAAGGTGCTTTTTGCTCATCTATTTGTTTGTTTATTTGCTTATTTGTCGTTCAGTATTTGTTTATTTTTATTTATTTGTTTTATTTATTTGCTGTTTATTTGGCGGGTTGGTGGGTTTTGTTTGGGCGCTTTTCCAGGCTCTGGGGAGCAGGGAAAGGCCGCCGGTGCTTCTCTGTGGCTTCGCTGCTGCTGCTGCTGCTGCTGCTGCTGGTTGTATTGATTTGCTGCTGCTGCTGCTGACGGCGATAGCCTGCTGCTGCTTGGGCTCCTGCTGTTGCTTTTTGTAGTGAGGTTGTTCTGCTGCCGTTGCTCTCTGTAATTACGGCTGCTGCTGCTGGCCGTATTGATTTGCTGCTGCTGCTGCTGCTGCTGGTTGTATTGATTTGCTGCTGCTGCTGCTGCTGCTGCTGTGTTCAGGTGCTGTTGATGCAGGAGCAGCTGTCTAAGAACAGGATCATAGTGGAGGTAAAAAAAGGAAAAATACATTTTGAATAAAAGTTTCAAAATTGAAACAAAACAAAAACAATCAAACATTTAGAAATTGTTTTATTTTGTTATTCTATACTTCTAAATTAAGGGCTGCTTTAGGGGCTGCATAGGCAAAAGCATGTATTATTAACTCATTATTAATATGCCATTTGTTTATTTAAATTTTTTTATTATTCATTTTTTACTTTGTTCGTTTTCTCATTCTTTACTGCTTTTTCTGTTCCTTGGCCATCTTACTTGCTGGTTTCTTCTGTACCATTGTGCGGCCATCCATAATTATTTACATTTTTATTTGTTCTTTTCCATTTATTCATTTTTTATTAATTATCTCTATTTATTCTTTTTATTCTTTCCTTTTTATTGCCTTTCTCATGGCTTCTCTTCAAAATGGATTTCTTGTTTAATTCAATTGAATTAGTTTCGCTTTCCCCGGCCCTGCAGATGCAGCAAGTTGTGGGGCCTAACAATAAACATTAAAACAAACAAATAAATAAATAAATAAATGAGTAATAAATAAATGGGATCTGAGAGAAGTTGCCTCGTAAACTAGTGCCTTCCAGTGTACGTACAGCTGAGAGCATGCACTGAAAAGGTCAACATTTGCATGCAGAGCTTTCTACGTAAATTGACCGGTCTATTTATGTAATGTATTTAATTATGCAAAATCTAAATATATTTACGATTAAAATCATGTAATATTACTATAATTTCACCTAGGACTGCAGCAGCACCTGTAGATATACATGTTTATGTAGGATATATATATATATCTATATATAAAATATACACAGATGTCCTACAATATATATCCATATATATATATAAAGATATAAATACACCATTGTACTCATAAATGAACATACACGCGCAGCAAGTTCGTTCCTGCTCGTCCGCAGCCGCTCACTCTGCTGCTGTTGCTGCTGGTGCTTTTGCTGCTGCTGCTGCTGCTGCTGCTGCTGCTGCAGCTGGACATGAAGCGGAACGTGTGCGCGACGGTGACGTCTGCGACTGCGGAGGCGAAGAGCCGGACGGCGGTGGTGCTGAAGGGGGGCCGGCTGTACGTACGGCACAACTCCTTCACAGACGATTTGCCCTTGTGCATTTTGCTGCGGGCAATGGGCGTGGAGAATGACCAGGAGATAACGCAGCTGATTGGGTCTCCTGCTGCTGCTGCTGGGGAGAAGGGCCCCGCTGCTGCTGCTGGGGAGGGCTGCTGCGCCGCAGCTGCAGCAGAGCCCGTGTCGCTCTCGCTGCAGGACTGCCACACGGAGGGGACGCTGACGCAGCAGCAGGCGCTGCTGTGGGTGGGCTCGCGGCTGCGGCTGCGGACTTACGGGCGGGGCTTTTTTGCTTCTTCGCGGGAGCGGGAGAGCCGCAGCAGCAGCAGCAGCAGCAGGAGCAGCGCGGAGGAAGCGGTGGAGGCGCTGCACCGCGTGCTGCTGCCGCACCTGGCGAGCAGCGGGAACAACTTCGAGGCGAAGCTGCTGCTGCTGACACTGATGGCCCGGCGCTGCTTAGCAGCAGCAGCAGCGCCGCAGCTGCTGGACGACAAAGACTACTACGGCAACAAAAGGCTGGAGCTGGCGGGGCAGATGTTGGGTCTTTTATTTGAAGACTTGTTCAAGAGGTTTTGCGCGCAGACGAAGAAGCAAATAGACTTCGCGCTGACGCGCTTCCACCAAACCCGCAGCAGCAGCAGCAGCAGCAGAAGCAGGGAGGCCCTCGCCTACCCCGACTGCACCCGAAACCTCCCCACAGACATCATCACCCGAGGCCTCCAAACGGCACTCAGCACTGGCAACTGGAGCATCAAGAGGTTCCGCATGGAGCGCTCGGGAGTGGCGCAAATCCTCTCGAGACTTTCTTACATCGCCACTCTCGGAATGATGACAAGACTGAACTCGCAGTTCGAAAAGGGCCGCAAAGTCTCGGGGCCCCGCGCCCTCCAGCCCTCCCAGTGGGGGGTCTTGTGTCCGTGCGACACTCCCGAGGGCGAGAGCTGCGGACTTGTGAAAAATTTGGCATTATTGACTCATGTGACGACGGACGCGCCGGAGGGCCCCGCGCAGCGGGCCCTCTTCGCGCTGGGGGTCGAGGAGGCCCCCTCGTTGGGGCCCCAGGAGCTGCATGCAGCAGCTGCGGGGCACTTGGTGTTTCTCAACGGGGCCCTCTTGGGGCTCCACAGGAGGCCCCAGCAGCTGCTTGCTGCAGTGCGGCTGCTGCGCCGCAGGGGCCTCCTGGGGCCCTTCCTGTCTGTACACCGCAACGCAGCGCACCGCGCCATCTACGTGGCCACCGACGGCGGCCGGCTCTCGCGGCCGCTGATTCTGGTGGAGGGCGGGCAGCCGCTGCTGCAGCAGCAGCAGCTGCAGCAGCTGCAGCGCGGGGAGCTGGCCTTCGGGGACCTGCTGAGCCGCAGCGTCCTCGAGTGGGTGGACGTGAACGAGGAAAATGACCTTCTTATTGCTCTCGACGAAGACAGCATTTGCCCCGAAACCACCCACCTCGAAATCGACCCTTTGGCCATTTTGGGAGTTGTTGCGGGACTTATTCCCTACCCCAACCACAACCAAAGCCCCAGAAACACCTACCAGTGCGCCATGGGCAAACAGGCCTTGGGCGCAATTGCCTTCAATCAATTCAACAGATGCGACACTCTACTCTACCTCCTCGTCTACCCCCAACAGCCCCTCTGCAAGTCCCGCACTCTCGACCTCATCAACTTCAGCCAGCTGCCAGCAGGTGCCCCCCAACACAGCCACACCACCAGCAATGGCTGCTGCTGTGCTGCTGCTGTGCTGCTGTTGTGCTGCTGCTGCTGCTGCTGCTGCTGCACACACGGAAGTTGCTGGCTACCCACACGCATTCGTGCGTTTTTGTGTTTGTGTTCATGTTTTCGTGTGCACATGTGTGAATAATGTAAAATAAATTGGAAATAGTACAAGTAATTTGTTTCGTGCTTGAGAAGCGCACAAGTATCCGCTGCGCGGACGCGTTCAGCTGTAGGTTGTCAGGTGTCTGTACAGTGCAGGATTTTTGCAGCGCGGAAAGAGGAGCATTCGGGTGTACGTACAGTGGCTTGGGTTGAGCTTTTGGAGCTGCGTTTTGGAGTTTGTTTGTGCAGGTCAGAACGCGAGCGTGGCAGTGATGAGTTACAGCGGGTACGACATAGAAGACGCAATAGTTCTGAACCGGGGTTCCGTGGATCGGGGTTTCGGGAGGTGCTTCGCAATAAGAAAACACACTGTGGACTTCAAGCAGTACTACAACGGGGCTTCGGACCGCGCCTTCCCCCCGCCCTCGCCTTCGGAGGGCAGCCGGGGCGGAGGGGGCCCCTCCGGGGGGGGCCCCCCGGGGGAGCGGGGGGGCCCGCGTGGGGCGGGCCGGGGGCTGGCGAGCAAGCGGTTCGCCGCAGTGGGGGAGGACGGGCTGGCAGAGGTGGGGGAACTTGTGGAACAAGACATGGTGTTGGTGAACAGGTTTTCGCCAACGAACACAAAAGCTGCTGTTGCAGATCCGCTGCGGCTGCAGCGCAGCGACTACAGCCCCGCCCCAGTCAAGTACAAAACGCCCGTGGCCGCGTACGTAGATCGCGTGCTGCTGACGGAAAGCGCAGAGGGCTGCAGACTGGCGAAGCTGATGCTGCGGCAGACGCGGCTGCCAGAGCTGGGGGATAAGTTCTCCTCGCGGCACGGGCAGAAGGGGGTGGTGGGGTTGATAGTGCCTCCGGAGGACTTGCCGTTTGCAGAAGACGGCTGGACTCCGGACTTGGTGATGAATCCGCACGGATTTCCCTCGCGGATGACTGTGGGGAAGCTGCTGGAGCTGCTCGCGGGCAAAACTGCGCTGCTCACGGGGCAGCTGCAGTACGGCACTGCGTTTGGGGGTACCCCCGCGGCGGAGCTGGCGCGGGCGCTGCTCGCGGGGGGCCTCCACTACTCGGGGAAGCAGTACCTGACTTGCGGGTTCACAGGGGGCCCCCTGCAGGCGTATGTCTTCTGCGGGCCCATCTACTACCAAAAACTCAAACACATGGTTCAGGACAAAATCCACGCCCGCGGCAGGGGCCCCCGCCAGCTGCTCACGCGCCAGCCCACCGAGGGCCGCGCCAAAGACGGGGGCCTCCGACTTGGCGAAATGGAAAGAGACTGTCTCGTGGCTTACGGGGCCTCGGCCTTGCTGATCGAGCGTCTGGTCTTGTCCAGCGACGCCTTCGAGGCCACGGTCTGCACGCGCTGCGGCCTCATTGGCTCCAACGGCTGGTGCAACATGTGCAAGAGTTCCGCCAACGCAGCCACTGTGCAGATTCCCTACGCATGCAAGTTGCTTTTCCAGGAACTCATGAGCATGAACGTCTGCCCCAGAATTTCCCTCAAAGAGGTCTGAACGCCGTTCTAGGGTTTAGGGTTTGGGGTTTCGGGGATCGGGTGGCGCCCGTGGCTCGCGCGCTGGCCCAGAGCAATCCCCAGCTTCCACTCATTTCTACTGCTTCTGCTCGCCCAGAGCGAGCCAGGCAGACCACAATAACATTTTGTTCACCTTTTCCTTCAATACTGTCAACTCCACTAGCGGCCTAAAGTGAATTTAGTTAGTTGCGAGACGCAGGGCAGCCCCGCAAGTCGCTGCGACTACGGAACTCGGAAAACTCCCCCCGTAGGGTTTAGGGTTCAGGGTTTGGTCGGAAGAAGCCCCAGGCCAGTTCCGCCACCCGCCTGGGCAGCTCACAGCTGCGGGTATTCATATATTCGGCAATTTCGCTGTAGATCAAGTATCTTCATGTATTCAGTTCAAGCTAGAATTATGTAGATGCACCCAAAAATCAGAGCCCCACACACCGTAGAAACCTCTACAGAAAAGCAGCTGACGCTGCAGCAGGTCTCGTGCTGCAGCAGCAGCAACGGGCGCTGGCAGAGGTGGCGCCGTAGAGTGGTTTAGGGCTTAGGGTTTAGTTTAGGGTTTAAAGTCTAGGTTCTAGGGTTTGGGGTCTGGCAATGGGCGCGGGGGCCGCCGCCTTTCTTCGAGCCTTGGTTTATCTTTATATTTCAATGGAAAGGTCTAGGCCTAAATGCAAATGCAACGCAGGCAGCTCCAGGTACACTCCAAATCCTCAACCCTATAAAGATGTGTAAAGATGTGTGCGTGAGCTACACATTATGTGTACATTAACAAACATTGCGCATATATATATATATATATAGGGTCCATGTGCATAGATGCATATATCTATATATATATATATATAGATATATATATATATATCAGTGGAAGCACCAGCACCGCACAAGTACATTTAATGCAACACGTAAATTCTACATGCATGCAATTATATACTTCCCATGCAGATTCTGAAGTAATCCTAGGTGTTTGTCTACACATCTGCACAGCAAGTGCAACAAACCACGCTATACATGAATGCGAAACTGCACATTCAAAAGACGTTTTCCTGCTTCAAGGAATGCCCATGCAAACATACAAACACAAAGATACATAAATCCAGAAAATATACAAATGTAAATATAAATATATTGCCAACTGGAGGCGTTTCTCTGTTTCAGGTGGTGCCACCCACCGCGGTACTTGCCGCTACCATCCGCTTGCTTCTTCCTGCGCAAGTGCTGGAGAGTGTTTCTAAAGTTGTTCATAACGCTGCATTCTTTGTCTGAAAAGAATGCGAAACAAAAAGATGAAAACGAACGAAATGACGCTAAAAATCAAAAATCGGGAAATAATGAATTAACTTGCAAAAACAGACAGCGCCACAACGCCGCTGCGCGTGCACAACGTGAACACCCAGTTGGCTTACTCGGTCCTACAGACCCACTTATCTACACCCTATCCGCTAAAACCTAAACCCTAAACCTTAGCCCCAAACTCTAAACCCTAAGCCTTAGCTCTAAACCCTAAACCTTGACTCACCCAGCTCCGCGAACCTGCAGTGCTCTGCGCAAAGCGCGACCAAATTTTGAATGAAGTCCACAGTGACCTGAAGCAGCAGACACCAAAAAAGCAGCAAGAATGAAAACAACAACCAAGGGAACAACGATAATAAGGGAAACGATAGCAAGTATAATGATGAAACAGAGAGGCAGTAATGAAGATGAACCGCAACAAAAATACAGGCTTCTGCTGTCGCACTTGCTGCTGCACTAGGCCGCGACATTGCGTATAAACCACTGAGAGGCTGAAACATATAAGCCTTATTTCCTACGCCTGGATGAGTTTCCGCTTTCTAGCTGGTGTTTGAAGAAGACGATGAACCTGAATATGGAATATGGATTTGCTGAGTTCAATCATAATAGTCACAATTAGTATCCTTGCTTACTTCAGGGTTGTTTTGATCGAAGTAATAAACATATTTGTCCAGGATTTCAATAAAAAGAGACACATGTGATGTGCTCGCTTGCACGCAAACATCTGCTATCTTCAGGCACTTCTGCAGACACTCCAGAACCCTCCGGCTATCGCGGTACTCCGCCTGCGACAGGGTAGAATAACACCATAACCTTAAACCCTAAACCCTAATTCCTGAATTTCTAGCCCTGAGTCAATAGTTCCTGCGGTTTCCTCAAGCAGGGGAATACGTTAGAGTACGGTCTTGAGAAAGGCGACAAACAAAAACCCCTCAACGCTAAACCCCTTGCTGGTCATCCCTTTACCCGGCGCCGTTGTCTGCGGCCTCAGAAAAAGCTGAGATCTTGCACGAAATAATGGATTAGGTTGCTAATTTACTTGAATTCAATTGATATTGATTAAAACTGACCGCGTTCCAGTATAAATGGGAACAAGACAAAACAGCCCTGCACTGATCCGGCTTCTTGAGGAGCTTCGCTCCGTGCTGGGTCACTCTCGAGGCAATCGAGTCGTAGTTTTCTCTATCAAGTCCGCGGATGAAGCCCGACATGCATCCCACCATCTGTACAGCATACAAGATGCCGAAATCCGCTTCTTTGAAGTGCCTATACACTCCAGTTTGCGCCCTTAAACGCTGCCTCACACCGTGCACTGCTCAATTAAACCCTTTCTCTTCATCCGTTACTGCATGGGCACGCAACCCACGGATGCAGGCAAGGGGTTTAGTGCTCTGAATCTACGGTTTGCCTGCGTACTTCGCTCAGCGCTGCGAACTGCCTCTTGCTTTCAGTTATCTCCTCCTCGAAACAGACCAATGCCTGGCTTATGAACTCGTGGCAGATCGCCTCGTAGCCGCCCACAGCTACGTTCGCATTATCCGCAGCCATGGCGGCCACCAGCCACAGCCTCAGGGCCATCTGAGATAGCACAGGGGATAGAAACGATTAGAAGCTGATGACTGATCAATTTAAGCATGTATGCATGTATATATGCGCAGTATACGTATCCACTGATGAATACATATGGATATATATACGTATGTGTACACGCACTTGGATACATATTCGCATGTAAACACGCGGAATTATGTTTCATATGTATAACTGCAAAAGCAGAGCAATAATAATCTGCTCAGGAATCCACAAGTTGGGCGCAGGGGCAAGCGATTTTGGCGTTTATTCGCATGTAAACAAGAATGCCCCTTAAATGATTGCTAATCCACAAATTCAAGCTCCTATTCTTTAAGTGTGTCGCCAGCGTGAATTGCTCGCCGGCGCCTCGAACTGAACCAGCAGTAGGTCAAATGTAGGTAGAAGCAAGGTACAAACATTGCTTTATATGAACATGGAACAATAATATAGGGATAATGTTCGCAAGATGTAAAAGCCCAAATGTAGACTCAAGCCTCTTATTCATACGTACCTCCGCATCAATTTGGACGAGCTCTAGGCAGGTCGAATGCATGAACTGGCAAATCTTCTTTCCTCCATGCGCTGGTGGAGTGACATCTTGAATTCTTTGTTCTGCCTGCTGCTGCCTCTCGATAACGGACGGCAGCAGCCGGCACGCAGAAATAACCAAAGGCGGCAACAACACACGCAGGCAATTGGGACCCCCTGCACAAAAAGAAACAGATCGATTTTGCACAAACCGTGCATGCACATGCATGCACGGTTTGTGCGATCTACTGCTTAACACTGTAGAGTTGCAGGTGGTCGGTCATATGTTGCTGCAATCTCATATCAGATTAGGCACGTAGTTCAATCTTCAACTTCAAAAGAGTGCCCAGAGATAACGTCAGGATTGGCACCTATGTTATTCAACTCTGCGCCTTAGAGCGTCTTATCAGCCATCCGTTAAAGTATTTGCAGCATAAAGAGGGACGAAGCGACGAGGTCAGGGAAAAAGATACGTGCGGCCAAACCAGCATAGCTGCGAAGGAGCGGAGCAACTGCTGCTGCTGCTGCTGCTGTTTCTGCTGTTTCTCTTGTGCTTACGTTGCAGCGGCAGCAGCTGCGAAATATCGCCTTTATCTCACCTTCTGAGAATTTGCTTTTTGCGACAAGAAGTAGACTGAAGTGGTCATCAGTGTCTTCTGCCTTGGCGAGATGCACAAGCATTGCGAGCTGTTGCAGCTGCTGTGCAGCTTCTGTTGCTATCGCTACTGGCTCCTCCAGCGCTGCGCTTTCGTCATCTAGTCTTTTTTCTGAACCCTCTTCCCGTAACAACGGAGAAACCAGACTCAGGAAACGACCCAGAGATTCCGCAGAAGACAGCGGAGTGCCGGCAGCCACCACCGCAGAAACCATAGTGCTGGCCACTGCACCGGAACAGCACAGAAGCAATCAGCGAGTTGCAAACAAACAGCGCACAAAAGGAAGCTACGACAAGCTCTATGCGTGACAACATTCCTCAAAATCATACATCAAGCAAGGCGCGTCTGCTGCAACTCACCACTATTTCTAGTGGAAGTATCCAGGAAGTCCATTAAGGGAGCATAACTCTCGATGTTCAGAACTTGCAGTGACAAGACACGCAGCGGTGCCGCCAGCAGCTCCATCAGCGCCTCCATGCCCGCCTCCGGCAACGGCTTCAAGTGCTTGTTGCTAGTGTCCGTTCGAGCGGACGCAGAGGCTGCATAGCTTCCGTCGAGTCCTGTGGGGCTCAGGGTTACGCCTCCCGGGCTGTGCAGCTTCGCCAGGCTTGGGGGTGACCTTCCCCCAGCCATTCCTGCAGCAGTTGTCAGCGGGGCCGCAGACGGGCGCTGAGAGGTTGCCACGAGGAGGCGGTGAGCGCTGTCAAGTATTTGAGACACGTAGTCGATGCGGGAGGGGAAAAGTGTGAGACAGAAGTTCAAGAATGCCACTTGCAGCGCCAGCAAGCTGGGCAAGTCCATTGAGCCTGCAACGACAAACGCAACCCCATCTCCACTTCATCACTTCAAAATTCGAGAGTTTAGGGTCTAGGTTGTCAGTTCAACAACGTAATCCTTTTGTTTTGCCAAGTGCAGCTTGCCTCCCGTGGGCGAGTCCGAC